TCTTATTTTCCTATTTGGGCCAAATAGGAAGGTGATGTGGGTCCCCAGCGAAAAAAAAAATGCGACACAATAACCCTTCGTAAACTCAGGGCATAACGATCTTAATAATCTGTCAATTTGAATTCTGCAAGTCTCGGCCACTCGCAGGACTCGTGCGTCCGGCGCTTGGCGCCATTGGTTAGGTAGATTAGATTCCCTGTGAAGCGGGTGGGCGGGCAGGATTCAAGACCTGAGAGTCCGGTAAAGCATCCACTTTCAAGCCACATTTTCATGTGCGTTTCCTAAAGTAAGGGCAATTTATTTGACGTGACGTCTCCTTTTCGGTGATACCCAATGTGTTATTATTGCATTACGATATTAGATTTATATTCAAGCTGGATACTTCAGTGTTGGTTAGTTTATTTATTTGTTCGTTGGGTGCATTGGTAATAGAGAGAAAATAGTTGGAAAGTTCCTATTTACATTATCATTTGCTGTACTGCTGAAAATGGCCGGTCGTCATCCGCTTCAGAGGCTCGCATCCCCGTCGAGACAGCTTTCCTTTTTGCTTCACCTAGCGGGAATACTATCTTTTACGAGCTCGTTCAAGTTTCTAAGTACATGGGAAACGCCAATGTCAGCCGCCTTTGGCGGGCACTTCCAGTTTCTCACGATTATTGGACTATCCCTTGCGCTATGCACCTTCGGCATCGGATTCCTAGCCGACGTTACGCTGTCGTCCCGGCTATTTGCGCTGAAGAATGTCCTCTCCGTGTGCTCGGCACCGCTAGAGATATTGATCAGCATCCTATATTGGGGTCTTTGCGCCATCGACAAAAACTTGGTCTTCCCGCCCGACTTGCAGTTAGACCTGCTCCCAGACCTGGGATTCCATGCCGCGCCGGCAGTTTTCCTAGCGCTGGACCTGCTGCTCCTCAGTCCGCCGTGGACGATTCATGGCTTCTCAGCATTGGCCCTGAGCGAAGCCTTGGCACTGCTGTACTGGTTCTGGGTAGAGTACTGCTTCTCCCACAACGGCTGGTATGCTGCTTTATTTCCTTTGTCCGTTTCCAAAAAGCTTTGTCGTTCTAACCTCTCGAAAAAGGTACCCCTATCCCATCTTCGATAAGCTTAGCACGTGGCAGCGGATGCTACTGTTTACGTTTTCTGCCCTGTTGATGACCGGGAGTACTATGATATTAAAATGGACGTATGGAAAAATCAATGGTATCGAGGAATTCAAAAGGGATGCTGTATCGGACCCTGTAGGCATCCGGAAGAGGAAATGAGTAAGATTCCTGGGTATTGGACATATCAAAGCTTTTATTATGTATTTGCTTCCCTGCCTAGGTGGGTAGGTATGCAGAAGTCTCAACTTATACAAACAGCATTAGATAACCACATCGGACAAACCGAGTTTTCAAAGGGATGCGAGATAATGGTTGAGATAATGGACATGGGATACTAGAGTACTTGGGTTTGATAGAGGTTCTTTGATTGTAGATAGTATAAATGTAGTCGAGAAAGGGACCACTTAGACACATCTTCCGATTTGAACTTGATACTTTTTACCTACAAGTTTCTCTGTAGTGTAAATTGCACGCAAGAAGTTTCAACGTGAACCCCTGTTCAGTTGCCTTTTTTTAATGGTATTCCTACCCCGCCATCGGAGCTATCGCCCCCCTACCCCCCCCTGCACCCTCGGAGTCTTCACTAAAAATTTCACTAAAAATTTCACTAAAAATTTCACTAATAGTCCCCACCCCCACTATGACTCTTGGTTGCATGGGCTTATATTTATTTTCTAGATCTTGCGACGATCGGCTGCTTTTGCGACAGAATTGAAGCAATTTCACTATATCCAACTTACCACCTATTTCTTGTTAGGTGCTGGTTTTCTTTGAATTGGCTATCTTCTACTGTATACAAGGGACTATTATATTCACTCTCGTTAGCCCATCATGTCTGTAAGTATATTCTAACTTTAAATCTTCAAAAGGCAAACCTGAATTGGATAACTGACTGACTCATGACATTTTAAAGAGCTTCTACATTCCAAACAGGGACGTCGGTAACAAACTTACTGGGGATGACTGGAGAAGTACGTATAGACCCTCAGAGGACAACCCTCAGAGGACAAAGAATTACGGAGCTAATTGATTCTTTAGTCCGCGGCTACAATCCCTTAACGCCTCCAGACCTGCTCCAGCACGAAATCCCACACACGGCCAAATCGAAGCAGACGGTCCTCGAAAGCCGCGAAGAGGTGGTAGCCGTGGTCAACGGCACCGACGAGAAGCAGAGACTCCTAGTAATCATTGGACCATGCTCCATCCACGACCCGAAGTCGGCCCTCGAATACTGCGATAAGCTACTGAAGGAGAAGGAAAAGCACAAGGATGAGCTACTCATCGTCATGCGGGCTTACCTTGAGAAACCACGAACAACAGTAGGCTGGAAGGGTCTAATAAACGACCCGGAGATCGATAACAGCTTTCAAATTAACAAGGGATTGCGTATGGCAAGGCAACTTTTCGTTGACCTCAACGACAAGGGGATGCCCATCGCTAGCGAAATGCTGGATACTATCTCTCCACAGTTCCTAGCAGATGTTCTCTCGGCCGGGGCCGTGGGCGCCAGGACGACTGAGAGTCAGTTGCACCGGGAGTTGGCGAGTGGTCTCTCGTTCCCGGTCGGATTCAAGAACGGTACCGACGGAACATTGGGTGTTGCCATTGATGCTATCGGTGCTGTCAGACATCCTCATCATTTCCTCTCCGTTACGAAGCCCGGAGTTGCAGCCATCGTTGGTACTGTTGGTAATGAGGACTGCTTCGTGATCCTCCGAGGCGGAAAATGTGGTACCAACTACGACGCGAAGAGTATCGCACAGGCTAAGGCTGCCTTGGCCCAGGCAGGTTTGCGCCAGCGTCTCATGGTAGACTGCAGCCATGGAAACTCATTAAAGAACCACAAGAACCAGCCTAAGGTTGCTGCTGATATAGCAGGGCAGATGTCCAAGGGAGAGACAGGCATTATGGGAGTTATGATCGAAAGTAATATCAACGAAGGTAAATGTTCCGTATGATTCAGATACCTAGTTTAGATTGCTAACTATTCGCTCTTATAGGCAGTCAGAAGGTACCAAAAGAAGGCAAGGATGGTCTACAGTACGGTGTCAGTATCACAGATGCTTGCATTGGATGGGAAGACACGGAATCGGTCCTCGCTACTCTCGCAAATGCCGTCAAAGAGCGGAGGAAGGTAACTGGTACAAACGGTCATCCGTTATAAATCAGGAATCCTTAGATGGGAGTCACCTATCATAAAAAGTAAAGAGGGTGAAGTCTCGCGATCTGTAATAAAAGGTGGTTTTAAAAATTTGAAGATGTCCAAACGTTCGGCACAAAGGAAGGGGGAAAAAAGATGAACTAAAGCGTTCTTTGCGTTACAATTCGTATACTTAGGTCATCCTTAGAAATAGGGCCAATAGGTTAACTAAGTTTAACATTAAAATATCATGTAGGAATTATAAGAAGCAAATTATAGGAAGTGTTGAATATGTTTATCTCTCCAACTTGAGGTTGTTCTGGTTGTTCTATCCGTGAAGTAAAGGAAGCTCGGTAAAAAGGTTCGATGTAGGTACCTAAGGTAAGCCGATTGATGGCGGTACCCGACCTGCTAAGTCTTGGCAGATTTAGTCACGTGCATAGTGGAATACGCCCAGTATAGCTAACCTCGGCCAATAGGATTCAGGTATTTCCAATTGCTTCAAGGCCTGAGCACTTTTTCATTCAACCTTGTTGTTTAAACTGGTTCGACCTCTTCCAACCCCAACCACGAATCTTACCCCAGCTCTCTCATTGCACTGTCAACCTACCCGTTGCCCACCCTCCTACGAACGGGTAGAAACTCGCCCTTCATGTTGGCAAGGTCTTGCCTGCGCTCTACGCGCATTTTCAACGGCGCCAGAAATGGCGCGACCGCCTTCACTAAGGTACGCATCGACTGACGTCGCCTAGAACTTGGGCCCATCTACGAAGCCTGGTAGCTACAGCAATAGCTATTACAACTATATATAGCGGAGGAAGCAAGAATGTAGCTAACCATTGTCGTTCTGCAGCGGTCCATCTCCACATCTGGTGCCGGAGCCGAATCCCCTCTGAAACTAAATGTAACCGCCGCCGCTTCCACAGCTCTCGCTATCGGATCCGTGGCATGGTACTACCATCTCTATGGATCTACCGCGCACGCCATGACGCCCGCCGAGGAAGGGTGAGTCTGGGTTTCTATATATGGAACAATCATAGGATTTATCTTCCTTTAATTCGACGCTAGAGAATATATGGGAGATTATCTAGTATCCTATGTATTAATGATGCTAATACGTCAAATTAGTCTGCATCCGACGGCATACCCTTGGGTTCACCAGCAGTGGTTCAAGACCTTTGACCACCAAGCGTAAGTGTAAAAACTCAGGCTTCTTCTAAGGCTCCATTGTTACTTACAGATCACCAGACTCCGACGAGGTTTCCAAGTCTACCAAGAAGTTTGCGCAGCATGCCATTCGCTTAGCCGAGTTCCTTACCGAGCACTCGTTGGAACTGTCTTAACCGTAGATGAGGCGAAGGAATTGGCAGAACAGAACGAGTACGACACCGAGCCCAACGATGAGGGTGAAATCGAGAAGCGACCCGGAAAGCTTTCGGATTACATCCCAGCCCCGTACAAGAACGACGAGGCTGCTCGAGCTGCCAACAATGGTGCCCTTCCTCCCGATCTAAGCTTAATTGTCAAGGCCCGACACGGTGGCTGTGACTACATTTTCAGCTTACTAACTGGATATCCCGACGAGCCGCCGGCGGGTGCTCAGGTCGGCGCCGGCCTCAACTTCAACCCTTACTTCCCGGGCACCGGTATTGCTATGGCCCGTGTTCTATACGATGGTCTCGTGGAGTATGAGGATGAGACCCCTGCGTCTACCTCGCAGATGGCTAAGGATGTGACGGAGTTTTTGAACTGGGCGGCGGAACCTGAGATGGATGACCGAAAACGAATGGGCATGAAGGTGTTGACTGTTACCGCAGTCCTATTCGCTCTGAGTGTCTGGGTTAAGCGATACAAGTGGGCACCGCTCAAGTCGAGGAAGATCGCCTATGACCCACCAAAGGTTGCCGACAAGATCCGCTCGTAAGGATATCCACTGCTGTATGTACTACTAAGCTACCATACCGCTCCTTTGTCATGGCAAGGGGAGAAGAAGAGGAAAAAGACTTGAGGTTGCAAGGGGTTGGAGTAATCCTGAGTCACGACTCTAGAGTGTATATCAGGTTCCTAAATTTTAGACCTTCACGGAAAGTTTACTTGAAGTACATGGGCGACTTGATAATGGATTTTTAAGATGAGAATATTTGAGAATATTTTCTCTCCACTCGGTTAACCTCGAATTTGCACATTTACTTACCTAGTGTACCTAGGCACTGCGCGTGGAGTATTTTCAGTTTGGGGGATAAAGCTACCTTTGTCGATGGGAAGCTGTCCACGTGTATACTTCCTAAGGTAGGTACATGCATAAGGTAGATTACCTGTACATTACATTAATATGGAACATTGACAATCTTTTGAAGAAGTGGAAAGATGCGCACGGGGAAAGAGAAGGAGGGGGAGGGGGCTTTTCTCAGCCTCAACCTTAAATCTCCAGTACTGTGATTCAGGTAATTCAGTGTACCTGCCAGACTGTAACGCACATAAACTTGCTATAGTCGCCGTCTACCTGATACCTATTAGCACCTATAGCACCTATAGGTGTGCAGGCAAGGCGGTGACCTCAATTGCCCAAATGTACGTATTCCTTCTATATTTATACCTTTATTTTTACCTCTTATTTTTGCTTTTCTCGTTAGACGAACCATCTCTCTCAACACATCCTGCAACATGTAATCCCAACTGTCCAAATCTCAACTTCCCGACAACAGACATCACATCACATCACATCACCTATCCAACCGAAAAACATAGCAACCATCCACCAAAACAATTTCTTTAAAGAGAAACTCATACTCCAGATTCGACACACCTGGAAAAGATAGTATTTGAAGAATCCCTAACTCAGATTCTTATAGATATTTCATCAGAGCAGAGCCATGGATCAGAAAGCGAGCGATCATTTAACCAAGACGGATGATGAGGCTCGTAGCCAGCTAGCTCTTAACTACACATATGGCTTCGACACTTCCGATCATTTTGAAGAGCGGTACCTCGGAGATATAATAGTGAACGGATGGGCGTCTCAGGATGACATCAAACACTTCACTAGCCATAGCCTAATGCGCGGCTATGAAGAATGGCATATGGTGTTCTCTTGCGCAAACGCTTTGAAAGAAGAGGCTTCTTTCGATGATCCTCTCGAGGGGCAAGATCTCCTCACCTTCCTCACCTTGGTCCTCTCCCCACGCTCTGGTCCTCGAGATGGTGTCGTCAGCGGCCAGACGTCGAATCTTCATCTGAAGTACGAAGACGTCGCACAAGAACCCCAACCTTCCCAGCCGAGCACGAAAGCAGGGAAAGCAGGGAAAAGGAAGAGAGATGCATCTCACGAACAAACAGATCCAGACCAACCCATCAAGAAGCACAAAATAAACAAAAGATCGCCATTCTGGTCCACAATTAACACAGATTCTTCCCTCCAGCGACCCCACCAGCCAGCGGATGACAGAAGGGAATCGAAAAGCGAGAAGAGGAAGAGTGGTAAGAGCTCAAAAAAGATCAAGAGGGCCAAAAAGACTAGAGAGTCACCGTCCGAGTCTATCACTACACCTCCGACTGAGAACCCAGTTCTTCAAGAAGTCCCGAAAGTTCGCCGTAGCCAAGACAATATCTCTACATCGTTGGAATTCCGTGATGCCGAACAGGAGATAAATTCTCCGTCACTTCTTAAGGATCTTAGAATCTCTTTAAAAGGTCGTCACTCATAGACGGCCGGGAGTCTATGAGTGACCAGAATGGTGTTTTGCATACTATTCTTCCGCTGCGCGTTTCACATACAAATACTGAAGCGGGAAAGTCATTAGCAGGCTTGCAATCGCCACCAACTACACTCGGAAATGTTGAAGGAACCTTGGACGCAGCTACGTTGAGTTTAGGCGAATCGGACGAAAATGAGGAGCAAGAAATCAATGGTGTCGCGTCTCATGAGAGAGATATCATGTTTTCTCAACCAGTGGCAAAATGTCTGACTCCGAAACGCAAAACGAAGTCCCCTTACTTTAACACATTGGACACGCTGACTCCGCTTAAGATAAAATATCCCCGACCTCCTCGAGGAACGATTCCTTGCGTACCTTTTCCGCGTTTAGACGCCCCCAATTTCGGCTTGATTCAAGAAGACCTCGCAGCCGATCCTTTCCGTTTGCTTATCGCAGTGACCTTTCTGATACGAGTAAAGGGGAAGCATTCAATACCCGTATTCTACGATCTCGTAGAAAAGTACCCGACGCCGAGACATCTAGCAGAAGCAGATGCGAACGATATAATAGCAATGATTAGACACCTCGGTCTTTCCGCGGTCCGAGCCACCGCAATCCAGAAGTATGCACGAATATGGATAGAGAACCCACCTCGAGCTGACATTCGATATGGCGTGAAGAATTATCCACAGCTGGGCGATGGGGCTGACGTCCGGGCCGCAGAAGCATTGTGTCCCGATGATCTCAGGTCCTCGGCTTGGGAAATTGGTCACATGACACAAGGTCGGTATGCTATAGACAGCTGGAGAATATTCTGTAGGGATGTCCTTCTCGGTCGTGCAAAAGACTGGAGAGGCAAGGGGCGCGAAGGAGAATTCCAGCCCGAGTGGATGCGAGTGTTACCGGAAGATAAGGAACTTCGTGCTTGTCTTAGGTGGTTATGGATGCAGGAGGGCTACGCATGGGATCCGAAAACAGGAGAGAAGGATATACTCCCGGAAGACTTGCGTAGGGCGGTTAATGAGGGTCGAGTTGCGTATGATGACGCTGGCGAGCTGAAAATACTGGGCAAGGAGGCTCCTATAGGGAATGGTGCCCTCTAAGGTATATAATAGCTACACTCACGAATATACTCTCTACTCTCTTATGCCCCCAGGTGCCAGCGAGATACGGTGGAGTAAACCTATTGGGGTATTGTTTAACCAGAATTAGTGGTGAACAAGATTAGGGAGATATTCTCTAACATCTAGTTACTCTATCTTATTCCTCCTTGTCTTCTACCAAGCCCTTGGCCGTCTCCTGGCGAATAATAGCCTCCAGAATTAAGGCCGTCTTCCTATCGTGTATCTCATCCAAAGCGTCGGAAGCGCTCAACCAAGCTGCGATCAGGTTCCCCTGGCGTGCGTAGGACGTCCGAGTCCACTCCTCAGACCGCAGCTGGCTCCGGCGCAGGTGCTGGTAGCCTAGCCAGGGGAAGTTGTAGGCTAGGTGCAACTGCATAAGGCGCGGGTGCTCGTCGAGCGAGGAGAGCGCTTGGGCTAGACACATCCGGTAGTAGTGCAGCGAGCCGCCGACGAAGCCCGCGCACGACCCGAGAAGAAAGCCGATGCTACCGCTGCCGGTGAAGATACCGGTTGCGGCGGCGGCGGCTAGACCTACTAGAGCCTACAGGTGGGTTTAGTAATGTGTGTGTGTGTATGTGTATGTGTATGTGTGGGTGTGGGTGGGTTGTTAAAGGGGGGGGATGGAAAGGGGGGACAACCCGCGGTAGAGGATGCTACGAACATGGAACGGAACATGTAAAGGCCATGGCCACTTTAGATGAAATTATGTTAGCTACCTCAAACATATCTTAGTGCTTGTTTATGAGTGTCTCTTTTTTTTTTTTTTTACCTTGGTCTGCTCCAGTTTCCAATGGTTCTTAGAAGTTGGCTTACATGGCTACCGACGCTATTGGCGGCGCTCACTTCGTAGTCGACCTGAGTAGTTGAAATTCATTACGTTAATACTACCTAGGTAGTTCTCCAAGATATAGGAAAGGTTATACGCTACCATTTCTAGTAATATGACGTGCTTGAAAAATGTAGTATATTAAAATTTGAACTTCCTCTTTGTATGTGTAAGTGCGCAAGTGTATTATTCCCCTGAGGTTGCCGTCTGACAGTCTCCACTCTGTCGCATATCAACTACCTACATGCATAGAGCTGAACCCCCTATAAACCTAATATATACCTAGGTAGGTAGCTTAAGCTTCCAATAGCAATGCCCCTTTCAACCCAAAGTTTAGCTTACATCACTAACTCTTCTTACGTGAGATGGGACGGCTCTTATAGGTTTTTTGCTCGAGTCGTGATCGGGGTATCCTACCATCTCCAACTCGCGTACTCGCGTATAGAGACACGCATTTGCAATGTCATCTCAGGCAGCGTCGAAGCCGGATCGTTGAGGCCTAACGTCTGGGAGGTTGATTAGTAGGTCGGTATAGAATACAGAAAATTGAGTATATTAACTAGAGCTTTACCCCTCCAAGATAGCACAGCAGCACAGCAGCCAGCACAACAATACAGCAATACCCCGCAACTCGTGCCATACCTAACATAGGTACCTCAGTCATATTCCGTACATTTACACAATAAAGTATACGCGCTAGTTTAATCGAAACGTACCTAGCTCAGCTTCGTTCGTCCCCCCTTTTTGGATATATTCTTCCCCCCGGCCGCCCGCTCTATCCCTTGCGTCTACTGATAAGGCTCGATGGGTTCGCTCGATTCTCCCAAAGATGAGCTGACCGTTCTGGTCACCGGCTTTGGTGTACGTACCTAACTCGTACCGTGCGTGCCCCGTGCCCCGTTCCCTGGCTAATTATTGCGCGCAGCCCTTCAAAGAGCAGTATCCCGTGAATCCCGCGTGGGAGATAACCGCCTCGCTGCCGGATTACCTCCCGCCCGACAGGGTTAAGGATCCCGCGCGGCAAGCTCCGTCCGCCCTGCCGGCGGTTCGGATCCTGAAGCACGGCCCTGTCCGCGTCAATTACCAAGTTGTTCGGGACTTGATGCCGACGCTGTGGGATGATCCGGAGCAGAAGGCTGACTATGTCATTCATATAGGGATGGCGGGTCCGCAGCATGTTTATTCTATTGAGAGGCGGGGTCATCGTGATGGATACGATAAGCACGATGTTGATGGTCAACTACTTGGTGATGAGCAGAGACGTAAGCTTGAAGGGGATAAGTGGATATGGCAGTGAGTATACTTTAACCTTTACCTAGTTACATATTATTCTGGGTATCGTGGGTGTGAACTTATTATCTACAGTGACGTTCCCGGGGAGCTCTTAACCGACTTAGAGATCGGAAAGATCTACAAGCGATGGGTTGAGCGTAGCCCGGTAGGATTTATTCCCCTAATCCTCCCAACACTTTGCGTATGTACTGACATTGATAATTCCAAAGGATAACCTCAGGCTGCAAATCTCCGACGATGCCGGACACTACCTTTGTGACTTCATCTACTTCTCGAGCCTAGCTCACCTGTATAAGCAACAGCGGCCTAAGAAAGTAATTTTCCTGCACGTCCCCTTGCACCCTGACCCTGAATCTCTCAGCCGCGGAAAGGAGCTTGCTTTGCAATTAATTAAGTCGGTATGCGAAGTTGGCCTGCAGCGGGAGCATGTATCCTAATGCATGTGTGGCATGTGTGTTGGGCGCTTAATGAATGACAAACATGACGTATATTTGTACGTTAACCCATCTTGTTGCAACAGTCAATGAAACGATATACATAGTTTTTGCCTCGGAAATAGTTTGGAATAATCAATCGTGGGGGGTTTAGCTAGAACTATTAACATCAAGCTTACAACCCATTCCATAAACATAAGCGGCTACCTAGTCTTCTATGAGAAATATAAATGTCAATTAAACTAACATGCCTAGGAAATGGTAAAGAAAATACAGAGCCTTTAAGATAAGTAAAAGAGCAAATAATTAAATTTCATTTTTTGATACCTCCTACTGCTTCTATTACCAACCTTTCAGGGGCTATTCATCAGAATTGCAACTGGCTTCATACTGTTGTTTTTAAACTTGAAAATATTAATCATCCTAAATTATGAATATCCCCGTCTAAGTTAGCTCCGGTTACGCATTGCCGACCTCAGATTCTAAATGAACGAGCGTTTACCGTTAGTTAACTCAAGTATATGTAGGCTTATGATATTTAATATTTTTAGCCTTTAAGCTTGAGTCATAGTAAACAGATGCTTGTACCTGGGTCAGTTTAGTCTTACGTACGGATGTCGTATTTAGTTGTGTTGTTAGTCCTTAGTATACTTAAAAGCGCTTATCGCAAGACGAAAAGCAAGAAACAAATAAGACTGACTAGTGCGCTAATAAATAAAATTCGATCATGTTCGATCATGTGGGCGATGGCAATTCGTATTCGCCGACCAACGCGGGACGGCGGGCATTTACGCCGTCTATACGTTCTATTCCAATCGCCGAATTCCTCGGCTGCTACTGCTCGGGGACTAACCGAACCTACTAGTTTTTGACCCATAAATACCTAGTATATGTAGGACAAAGTCGGCAGCATTAATGGCAAACAAACAACTCATCTATCTACTTAATTCTATTCTATCTACTTGATTAAATCAACGCCGCCTCGGTGAATCGAAAAGAAAACAGCTACCGCAATCATCTATCCAAGTCACATTAGATAAGAATAATTCCATCACGATGTGCTTGAAAGCCACCTGTTCCAACTGCCGTAAGTTATCCAGAAAGTAGATGAACAATCATCAAATCAAATCAAATCTATACCTAACATGCCTCTCGCTAGGCAAAGTCACGTGGGCCGGCTGCGGAAGCCACATTCCCTCCGTCCTGGACGACATCCCAATGGAAGACTGGTGCAGCTGTGAGCCCAAGGTCGAGGTGAACGGCGAGAAGTATCCTCCGGGGGCTAAATGTCAATAAAAAAAATTGAAAGGCATGGGTAGGCGTATGGGGGTGATGGCTGAGTTGCAATGGTAGAGATCAGGGATTGGCATGTGAATTAAGGAACGCATCAATATAATATATGAATATAATACTTGAATATTCAACTTTATAATGTCTTTATTTCGTCTATCAAAACGGTGGATACGATACGCCTCGCTATGTATACCCCATCTATATTATGCGCCGTGCTGCCCTTCATAAGTATTGATATGTCATGATCCCCCCATTCCATCTTCGTCTAGATCTTCTGGCCTTTTTTCCATTGCGCCCTAGAGTACTGGATAGGCCACTTTACCTCCACACCCAACTCATGTGCGACACGTAGAGTGAACTCAGGCTCGCGCAGATATTGCCGGGCAACCAGCACAATATCCGCCTGCGTAATCTGTCCCGCCTCTTCGCCGACCTCAGCACTGTCGTGCGCTGTAGCACCCTGAGTTAACGACTTGCCCTCCTGGACAATCGAGCGCGCCATCTCGGCGGTTGTGATCAGTCCGACGGCACCGATAAGGAGGTTTAGGTTCTCTTTCTTAATGACCTCGCGAATCTTGCCCGCAAGGTCGATCTGGTAGTACGGGTGCACGTTGAACTTCGCCCTATCACTGTTACCTCCAGAGCTAACGTCGAGCAGGTCGACGCCGGCAGCTGGGAGCAGCTTGGCGAGGCGAATGCTTTGCTCGAGGTCCCAGCTGGGTTCGTCGGACCACTCCATCCACTCGGTCGCCGAAATGCGTACGAACAAGGGCATGGTCTCGGGGATAACGCTACGGATCGCCTCGATGATCTCAAAGAGTAGGCGTGTGCGGTTTTCAAAGCTACCGCCGTAGTCGTCGGTCCGCTTGTTGCTGAGTGGCGAGAGGAACTCGGTTATGAGATACCCGTGAGCGGCGTGGATCTCGATGACGTCGATACCGGCCTCGACGGATCTCCTGGCTGCGTCCTTGAAGGCTTGCACGAGGGCTTTGATATCCTCGATAGTCATGGCCTTGGGGTCCGGGTAGTTGTTGGTGTACTTGATGGCGCTGGGCGCCCATACGTTGTCACCCCAGCCGCCCTCTTCAGGGGAGGCGAGAGCGCCTACGGAACCATCGGGGACAAGCCAAGGGGCTAGGGTACTGGCCTTGCGGCCGGCGTGGGCAAGTTGGATACCAAGCTTCTGACCCTGGGAGTGAGCAAAGTCTGCGATACGCTTCAGCCCGGCGATCTGGCTATCTTTCCAGAGACCGAGATCGTCAGGGCTGATACGGCCGTTGGGAGTAACACTGGTGGCCTCGATGATTGTCAGAGGAGCGCCGTGAATTATAAACTGAGCTAGGTGAGTAAGGTGCCAATCAGAGGCGTGTCCGTCGTCAGCACTATATTGGCACATAGGGGCGACGACGAATCGATTTTGCAATTCCACGCCCCGGATCTTTATCGGCTTGAACAAGGTCGGGGCTGAGGCCGGGTCCAGGGCCGATCCGGCAGGAGGGTCTTGGGCCGGCGTCCAGTAGGGGACATTGGGGGCCGGTTTGTGAAACGTAGACGACATGATTATCCGTATACGACTCGGAAGGATCAGCTAGGATTTTCGATGTAATAGGTAGAGTGTATGCAGTCAGACTCTCCAAGAGAATCGAAAATAGTCTTGGCGTGTTTTGCGGAGATGCAGAGATGATAAAGGGGCGTTACAAACTCGGTCCAATGAGGGCCGAAAGGAAAGTAAGATAGCTGTGTGTTACCGGTTTTTTGATAATTCGGGTGAGATCAAGTTAATTGCTATTTTGGAATGAAGTTATTTTATATAGTATGTTAGGATGTTAGGTAGGTACACTATGCTACCATGGTCCGTGGAACCAAGGAGGCAATAATGGGGACCCTCATCTATCTATCATCTCCATCGTGCTTACCTTTACACTAGAATTGTGTAGAAGAAAGGGGAGAAAAAAGGGCCGCCCAATTGGGGCATTTAGTATGGTAGTATGGTGGTATGGTATTAGGAGGATGGTGTTATTCGAGTATTTTATTCCGAATTGCTGAATAATTACATATAATAACTCACTAGCATTAATAACAATGATATTAATAACACGGGAATGTAAGGTACCTATGTAAAGTGCCGTTCTTATGTAATTACCTATCCGAACTGAATCGAGTAGCGGAATATAGTGGAATTGATGACGTTACCAGGTAGGCACACTAAACTTGTGTTACAGCAGTTGCGATTGCATAGCGGATATTTTACTAATAGGCAAACGAGTGGAAGCTAGGGACGTGCGCCACCCCTAAAAAGTAATTTCTCTTTTACTCTCCAATCGCAATAGTCGCCGAAATATCTCCTAAACAACTTTCAAGATCCCAAACCAGGAACCGTATCCACTTATAGATGTCCACTACATACGCATACTACACTTACACTACGGTACATGATCATTATTTATTACTATTGTCTCGTCTTGTGGCATACTTGAAGAATTCTCCATTAGTCTGCTGCGGTAGTTTCCGCTGTTCATTGCCGTCTTGCCGTCTTGCCGTCCTTCCTTAACGCCGAATTACACTAGAAGATGCAACATGCTTCCTTCGGCAAGTCTTGTATAAATAGTCCTTTAGTGGTAGTCTATCCAGACATTCCTAATATCAATATATTGCCAAGTCCCCCAGAGACACGCAGAGGTCCAATGCGTGTTAAGAAAAATGTTAGCAAGTGGGGGTGAGATAAGGCCGGATCTCGATTTGTCATGAGCCTGTCTACATAGATGCGGATAGATATCTAACTAGTTGCGGCCATCTACTCTAAGTACGGACGAACCTGCATATTAAACGACGCCTAGCAGCTTATCGCTAGTTAATACAGAGGCTATGCTCTCGGAAGAGTCGCAGGTTTTTCTAGAATGTCTCAGGAAGCTTGTTGACAGAGCATAGCCATCGTCAGTTCCCCCCTTCGCCGTGAGGTGCTAACGGTATGTAGTTGTAGTTCGAGACAAGTTACGGGGTCGGTCATCCAAACCGAACTAGAACCACACGTGTAGGAACGCCATCCTAGCCATCCTTGTCCTTATCCCGCATCAGGGGCCGAACCTGAAGCAGCCACTCAAATCCGTTGCCTCCGAATCCACCGGCGATCGTGTCGCAAATCGCTGCTAGCACCCCCTTGTTCTTCCCCCCCGTTACCCCGTTACAGGGCTTAACATGGGACGAATACTTCTTATCCGCGTTTCGTGCCGTGATAGTGCAGTGTCGCTATGATGCAACGAGTTCAGACACTACATAGCGCTGAAGCTGTTAGCAAGGAGTCTATGCTCCACTACCCGGGACTTCTGAGGAACCATCCAACGCCTCGGGGCCCTGCCAAGACGTCTATCGGATCGAGACTCATCCGTACCGAAGTTGGCCTATCCAGCCGCTATTCAGCTTCGATTAGTTTAGCAAGTGTCCAATATAGATTCCTTTCTCTTCCTGCATGTCGTAGTGATACTGTCATTCGCTCTATTTTGCATCCTGTGTGTTAGATACTAAGTTGATAACCTCGAAAGAAAAAAAAAATAAACATGCTGAGAGGAAGATTTGGCGATAGAAAAGCTTCGGCTGCTTCTCTGAATTCGTAAGTTACAAAGTATTCATCTATATAAGTGGGCGAGTGAATGTAATGAGTTAACTTTTCTCTCCTCGTCTAGACTTGCCGGCCCAGCCACTGTCAAGATATTCGTTGGTCCGGATAGCGAGGAATTCCTCGTTCCGAGAAAACTCCTGGCATCATGCAACTACTTCCGGCAGCAAATAGACAATGCGCGCGTTAAATTCGAAAAGGGGCAGGCTCACATCATCCTCGTCCTGGAAGATCAAGAACCACCCATGTTCGAGTTATTCGTATACTGGCTGAACGAACGGAAAAACTTCGACAAGTTCATCGACGCCGCCGAGGCCGACCACTCCTGCCAGGAGCTCCACAACAGCCTAGTCCAACTACACTTATTCGCTGCCCAGATAGATATTCCCGCCTTACAAGATTGTGCTATGGACGCTATCCAAGATGTCTACCTTCGCAAGAACTGGGATATCAGTACTAACCTTATTAGATTTGTTTATACCTCGTGTGACCCCCAAGAGAGCTGTCGACTACGAAAGTGGATCGTAGCTATGACGGCGTGGACACTCGGAGGCGTAGTTACGACCGAAATGTCGAATAGCATCAAACGCCTCTTCGAGCAATGTCCTGACTTCTGGGCCGAATACAACAACCACACGCGCAAAATGGCGCAAACCGGGCTCGAGGGCCAATTCAAGAACCCCCAGCTCAGACTCCCTTCCAACAACCTTCGCGGCGAGGAGCGTCAGTTCGGCTTTCGACAATGTTCCTTCCACACGCACCGATCCACTGTCGGCCAGGGACGATGTCCTCACGCAAATTCTATCTCGCCGCTCATCCCGTCTCCATATACGGACGGCTACGTCGAGTCAGATTCAGACCGAGACAATTCGAGGTTTGGATCACGCATGGTTTCCCCGAGCAGCGACACGATACCCGAGTCCGATTTAGAGACCTCCTAAGACTTTATAGTCTAAATACCACCCGAGCGAGACTTCGACGAAACCTTTGTATTTTTACCAGAATCTGTACCATCTACAACTGGAGAGGAAGGATGGGCAACGTCTAATCGACGGCTTTGGCCTGGGCGTTGTGTTTGTTTTTACATATATTTTACAACATCGTCTACGCCTTTGTCCGAGGTAGATCGCCATGGCTAGAACAGTATTACAGGAGCATACCTTATGTATCCACAAACTGTCGGACAGGGCCAAACAGCTCACTATTTTTGTACACATACCCAAGGAGATAAATCCTCAACGGAAGTTCTTAGTATATAATTTTTAATTATAATGAACATATTTCAACCTTCTACAATTTGACTCTATATGTGGGTATGTATGAGTATTCTAATAACGCTCATCTCGTTGGTAGATGAACTTTACAAAAGCCACCATACATACTTGCGACAGCCATATTTAGTTTGGTACATACATTTGGTCATTGCGAGGTCCTCGAAGCGAGGACATAATTGTCCCCCCAATTGTATCCGAGTTCCTTACAGAAACATCGTCCATGATGTTTTAAGGGACAAGTCTTAGCCTGAGTAATGCCGACCACGCAGAATAAGTCATTACTCCTAAACGGTACCACGCACAATGAAAGGGCTTCGATAGGATCTCGGCATGTAGAGAAATCTAATAGTTAGGTCTAATTAGTATTCTGCCCAGAATTATGTACGTATGAAGTTAATCACTCTACTCACCTATGCTCTAAGGAACTCTTAAGGGGATACTATCATTCCTTCCTCACTAATTCTCCCCCATCCCATGCGCTGTATGACTGTAGGTTATCGTATATTTGTCATCTACTTCTCAGAAGCGTTTAGTTTAAGAAGTGACTCGAACGTAAGGCGACGGCTGCCTGGCGAATGCCCACGCCTAATTAACAAGGATATAAACTGTATGTAGTACTGCCATATGCAATATGCATTCGGAGTTAATTGTTTGTAGCTTGTATGGTTATTGTTGATACGTGATGGGTATATAGGGAGGCAGACAGGTATCCTTATTAATTCGTCGTGTTTGTTATGTGCCTCGCGCTCGTGATACGGGAACCCTGCCATTAGCTTCGAATATGGTCCACGGGGGGCCGCCAGAATATGTAAATCCAGCAAGTCTCACATCCCGATGGCAAGCACTTATACGGTCGGCTGTGCTTGTGCTTGTGTCTGTGCTTGTGCTTGTCCATGTGCTTGCTAGACAAAGTTAGCAGGGCTCGTTATCGGAAACGTAAAGGGAGTAGGGCTCTAGGTATCCTACCTCCATTCGCACTTCCGACCGGCCACTTTTACATCTTCCATAATCTTCATATCGTCTGAGTAGCCTGGTAATGAGCAAAGGAACTCTTCCTCGTAGTTATTAGCTATCATCTTTAGCCGCCATATGGTTAGGCTTATCATAGAGCCAAAGCGGTGAGGACGGGTGTTCCCCTCGCAATTATTAGTGCAAGCTTAGTGATGATTCCCAGAGGGTGACAATGTTTGGCCCTCTGAGGTTGCTGGTCGCTATCTGCTTAGGCTTTACCATAAAGCTCAAGCGGCGTGATCGGGTATTATGACGATGAGTCAGTGTTGAAAGACTAGGATAAGCCATGAGACCCACGCGATGTTGTAAAGGCGAACCCTAGAGGAAGTAGGCAACTTAAGACATCCTCTAGCGATAAGTTAGTTTTGGTAACAATGGGAAATATTTTATTTTCTTCTTACCTAGGAAATTAGAGAGTTTCTCTTTACTAAGTTAGGTTACCAACCATAACAGAGATAGAGTGTCCCTAGATTGGGGCCGGCTTCTGGGTTGGCTGCCTGATAGACTACTTGGTAGACTCTGATATACACTGTTCAGGACAGTTTTACGACATGTCGAGGTCTTGTTAATATGTTTCCGATGACGGTTGAATGCGCGGCCTGTGCATGTTCTTTTTGTGGCCTTATGGTCTGTCAGGACGGCTACTTCGTGAAGCCCAGACAAGACCGGTCACTTCCAGTTCTGTGGCCTGATACCGTTGGTGTGAAGTTGTGTGAAGTTGTGTGAAGTTGTGTGCTGTTTTGCTGACAGGAACAAACGAGTAAAGCAGCTTCAGCTATGGTTACCTGAGAGCAAGCATTGTTGCCTGACGGTGAGTTTTGTTGTCCTGAAGCAAGTGTCTGCCCTTATCCACATCTTCGACAGGAACATTGTGGGGAGTATGAGATTTGGTGGTCAAGTTCCCCGTCTCACTTTCGACTTAAGTAAGAAACTTCAAGGTCTTGTTAGAGGTGTTGATGTTCACAAATGTAACATGATGGCAGGCATTCAGATCACAAAGGATTGGGGAATAAGTTGGTTAACTCACATGGTAAGATCCCAAGTGATGGTCTTTCTAGAGTTGTTGATCATGGGTAAAAATTTAGTTGTGTAGAGTAAGTTATGTAGAAATAGTTGAGGAGAGGTGGCTGTGTTGAATTGGGTATGTGAAGAAGAATCTTGGGTTGAAGGGAAATGCGTGTTCAAGTACGCATAAAATGTTTTAGGAAGGAAGGTCCTTTGGTAGTTCAGCATTTGTTTCGTTGGGCTCGTTCGTTGAGCCCCGGCCGTCGAGACTTTATCTGTCGAGACCCTGGTTAGTGGTTTTATTCTTCGTACCCTTAGGTCAGTCATGAGCAAGTTTCGAGAGTAACTTTCTTTCCATATGCCCCAATGTGATGTCTAATGACAGGGGACTGGGGAAAGTTCGAGGACACTGAATATATGAAACTAGACGGCTTACCTAGCGGGAGATGGAGTGGGTTAGAGGGGATTTAGTTGTGGAAAGGTAGGGGAGGTTGAAGTAAAAGTCAATGTGATTTGAATAAAAGTTGTTAGAAGGTTGGTCCTGTAGAACTAAAGCACTCATACCTAATCCCATTGTGTTGTAGCATGGGTGTTTCCTCGCCACTTGCTTGGGACCTTGCATGTTTAAATATAAGTGACATCAGGAGGTATTGTTTTAAGAAGGGAAAGTGCTTGGCTTTATTAACACACCACCAATCTAGGGCCACATGCTAATATTTAGATACTGGTACCAGCTCCTGCCCATTATAGAGAATATTGAGGTGATCCCCGAGTCATTTTAAGGTTGTTACAATTTTAGGATATCACCTTCTAGGACTACCCGAGCGTATTATTTACACAGTACCGTAAGAAGAACAGAAGGTAGTGTATTGCCTTAGGAAGTTGGCACCCATTCAAGGTAAGAAAGCAGCAGCTGCGCTCCACTAGGTTCAAATAGGAGGCACATGGATAAATGCTCGTATGAGATTAGGAAAGTGGTAATTACTCTTACATATGTACCTCTTACGTATAGCGAGGTTGTTACAGCTCTTGAACTGTTCCTTGACCGTGCCTACAGTTGCCATGATAAGCATATGCATCATTCATACGTTCAGTAGGGATTACATATGCTTACACTTGCCTGCTTAGGTGTAGCTGTGTTCCATGCTATACCTTCTTCTAACCCCATCTACGAGATCACCACGAATTACCAGATATAGAGATGGGAAGCAGCGAAGCAAGCATAGCGAAGGAATATTGCCTGAGTGGGGGAGAGGTTCCTGACTACTTGGTCTCGTAGCTTAGCGACCTGGACGATGTAGAATTCTGGACAGCCGCTTCGCTTATAGCGGATCTACGAGAATAATTTAGCAGGCGTGAAAAGAAATAAAGATATTAGATAACTAAGACAAAGTTACCGGTAACGTAGCTAGTGAAATTTCGTAGCTAAATGGCTAGAGATGAATGACCAATCAACACTGTATCATGAAGAGCCTTTTTACTAGAACAACAACTCTTATCTACCCCCATATATACACTCTCTCTTAGGTGGCGCCTCGAGAAAGGGACAAGGCTCGGACGAATAAATGATTTAATCTCAGATACGTACCTAGTAAATTGATGGATTAGAGAGTTACAGTAAAGAAATGATCGAAAGTATATTACCATCAAGCATCGATCATAGAAAATGGAAGACGAGTGTAGAAAATCATTCGGGCACATAGTTTTAGAGCTAGCAAGCTATCTTCTCGGGAGACATGTACATAATCATCTCTCAGTCACTACAACGAATAACGAGTCCATTGCCTACATCTTCTATACAGTCAACAAAGCCAAAGCCAGAGCAACACCTAACGTAACACCTATGCTACATGAGCCGCCGAATATGACGATTGCAAATGCTTTACCGCAACACAAATTCCAGATGGGGTATCAATCCATACTCCGTTCAATAATGCACGTACCAGCCCAACGAGGCTGTCATCCTGAAACCTTTTCCAGATCCATATGCGTATTTCGAAAACCCCCCTTTCCGTAAAAACAACTAGTCGCCGAGAAATGATGCTATTGGGATGGATTAATAAAAACCACCGCCGCGACGACGACGATCGTGTCGGTTGCGAGGAGTCCAGCCCGGGTCAAAACCGCCTCGGCCGTGACCACGTCCGTGACCAGGACCATGACCATGACCACGAGGTCCCCTAGGGCCGCGGGGCTCGTGACGTCGGTCTTCACGAGAGTCCGGAATCGGCTCCTCGATTTCTTCTTCCCATTCTTCCCAATCATCCTTGGTGTGCTCGTCGTAGACCTTTTTCTCTCGTACTGCTTCATCGGCGTCAAAGACGAATCGCGTCGTACCCCCGTCAGGTCCCTTAGGCCCACGCTTAACAGTACTAGTTCCTGCGGCGGAGGGTGTGCTTAGTGACATGGGGGAGCCTGTCGATGGTGTAGGGGGGAGCACGATAGATTCGCACTCTCTGCATTGGTTCAGGTAGCGTGAGAGGCCAGCGCGCTCGACGAATTGGTTGATATTGATCTGAGTGTCGATAAAAACTTGCAGGTCAAACATAGGTCCGACTTTAGTGACCTTGCCATGTTGTGCGTAAAGGTCGAGAAGATCGAGCATCACCTCAGCAACACACTGCTCGTCCGTGTGCCAATCAAGTGGGTCAAGTGCTTGGAATTCGTCGACGAATCGGCCGGTGATCATCGCGGTAAGTTGCGCGACCACAAGGGCACAAGTATACGAACTATGCTTTAGAGGCGCATAAGTTTTGTACAAGTCAATAGACATCTTCATAGCAGTCGGGAAGAAGCTTGTGAGGTCAGCTGACTTTCCAAGGACCTTCTTTACGATCTTGGCAAGAATCTTCTGGGGATAGCGGACGCGAAAATCGAAATTGATGGCCTCAACCATGTATCGCTCAATACCGATGATGACCTTGGATGGTTGATCGAAAATCTTGTTTTCTCGGTCAGCGCATATACAGAAAATAAGTATATTGATAATCAGCTTACCTTGTCGTCCTGAGTAGTTGGATGATCTGCGTTCTTAAGGTTGTGGTGAGCACATAGAACCTCGCGAGACTTCTTTAGTGTGTCCTCAACCTTGCAAGCCACAAATAGAGACGCCAGAGCGGCGTCGGTGTAGTTGTAATCATGAGTAGGATGCTCTAGACGGAAGCGATGGTAGAAAGTGCACGCGGCATTATAGGTTTTGACTGGTCTGAAAGCAAATTATGGTTAGGATCATAAATGTCATGGACGAGGAGGCAAAGCAACTTACAGTAGAAGTGCTTCTCGAGTAGATTCGATCACCTGAACACCTTGAAGGCGGTAGTTAGCTTCCCTAGCAGCATCCAGTCGCTTCTCGACGAACATGCGGCGAATATGGCACTCGCAGATATATTGGTGGCCAACTTTGATAGTTCCTAAGTGCGGGCCAGCAATAATTGCGCGAGACTCGGTGGTCCCGTTCTTTGCGACATGATTCGGTGCCATCTCTTCGGTGGTGTTCAATACCAGAGCCTTCGTGTCGCCCGATTTGTTTCCAAAGGTCGATCCTCCTAGTTCGTTGAATAAGGTACGGTGCTGTCGCTGTCGCTGTCGCTGTCGCTGTCGCTGTCGCTGTCGCTGTCGCTGTCGCTGTCGCTGTCGCTGGTAGTTGCGAGTTTGAGAAGTTACACTGACAGCGTACGAGCTAGGCGTGATAGTAGCGTCCGAATCTTCGGAGTCGTCTGAGTCGTACGAATCATCCGGGTCGTCCGATTCGCCGAAACGGTCCTCTCTTCGATCAACAACGTGGGAAAACCTACGGGCTTTGGGCGAAACAAAAGGATCGTCTTGGCCGCTTCCGCGAAATAGAGTAGTACTTCGATCAGTGTTCTGAGCTAGAGCTGCCGAGAAAACGAAATTCTTAGGAAGAGAAGGCGAATTTAGCACGTCAAATTCAAAATCCGTATAGCTGAAAGGGCGGTGCTCGTAAAGGCTCCGTAAACCGTGGGTGGTGGGAGTGGTTGAAGCTTGAGGACTGTCGAAGTAGTTGTATCGGGAACGAGGTTCTAGAGGGCCGATATGTCGAAATGCGCTGCTGCAATTGAAGCTCAAGCTTGAGCCTGGACCCTGGCTCTTATCGGTTTTAGAATTAATCCGATCCACTCTTTTTGTTGACCGCCCTCGGAGTGGGGTGACAGGCAGAGCCGATCCGGTCCGTGCTGAAGTTATATCGGCACGGTCCATATTTCCGTTGGCCGGCTTTGACAAATCCTTGATTGGTTCCATCATTTCTTAACAACTTCAACAAAAAACAAAAAACCAGTGCAGCAGAAGGAAAACGAATCTGCAAAGAGTGTTCAAGGAAAACGCAACCCTTCAATAGCATGAAAGATTAGACAATCTTGATGATTTCGCGGTAAGCAATGGTGAGTATGTAACTGACAAAGTTCTGCCAGTAATGAGATCTTGAATGCGAGACTTGGTTGTTTTAAAGGGCGTAAAATATCTTTAGTAGAATGAGAGGCATGGTTGATTTGTCAAGGATCAATCAAAATACCTCTCAAGAACTAAGATGTGAAGCCGTCGTCATTCTATGAGGTGCAGCACGAAATCGCAGCCTAAGGTCAGTTGAGGATATATTGAATGACTGACTTATAAGCTTTGGCCAATGAGAACCTTGGAAGCTTGGCTTGTAACCCAAGGTCAGCAGCCTATGTTCATAGGTAGCAGCTGCAACTATGGCACAGCCACTTGCATTCCTCGAGTTTTATCATTCAACTTCTCTATTAAATACTTTAATCTACCTAAGTTATTCGAATTCTCCAATTCTCGAATTCCATCAGAACTTCATCAAGTCCATAATTCCCAACCATCCATAATACAAAAAATAGATGCGCATTACTACTGAAAACATGACTCTATTACAGAGACTGCCTGTGTTCCTAACTCTTACATCTACTCTTCGTGTTGTCCTAGGTAACCCCACGACTCTCAATCCGATTTCTACCGCCGCCGACGATGAGGATGACACGCCTCTACCAGTCGTGATCTGGCACGGCCTCGGCGACACCTTTTCAGCCGAGGGTCTACAGTCCGTCGGCGGGCTAGTCGAGAAGATCAACCCAGGCACATTCGTATACTACGTGCACCTCGACGAGAGCCCCTCCAACGACCGCACTGCGACCTTCTATGGCAACGTGACGGAGCAGGTCGCGAAGGTATGCGAAGATCTTGCCGCACACCCCATCCTCTCGACTGCGCCCGCCATCGATGCTGTCGGCTTTAGCCAGGGTGGCCAGTTTCTACGGGCCTACGTCGAACGCTGCAACTTCCCACCGGTCCGGACGCTCGTCACGTTCGGAAGCCAACACAACGGCATCGTCGACTACAAAGCCTGTTCGGCCGCTGATTGGTTATGTAAGGGCGCTATGGCGTTGCTACACGGAAATACATGGAGCTCGTGGGTGCAGAGCCGGCTCGTTCCCGCGCAGTACTTCCGCGATCCCAGCGATTTAGATAATTACCTCGAGCACTCCAACTTCCTAGCAGACATCAACAACGAGCGAGAAAAGAAGAACGAAACCTACGCCAAGAATATTGCGAACCTTGAGAACTTCGTACTATATGTCTTTGAGGACGACACGACCGTCATCCCGAAGGAGACGAGCTGGTTCGAAGAGGTTAATGGTACTGAGGTTACGCCACTGAGGGCCCAAAAACTGTATACTGAAGATTGGATTGGTCTGAGGGCTCTCGATAGGAAAGGAGGTTTAAAGTTCAAGACCACCCCAGGCGAACACATGCAAATATCGGATGAAGTGCTGGAAGGTACTTTTAGCGAGTTCTTCGGTCCTTTCAAGAGTAGTGCTCCGAAGGATGACCAAGAATCCGATGAGCTGTAATTGTTAAGCACGTGTATATTGAGTGTAGGTATAAACTAAGTCTTAGGATTAGGCACAAGGGGTATCGACTTGTTTTTAATCGAGGATTCATGCTATAAACTTTTATACCTATTTCCGCCGTACGCCGTCAAATCGTGCTTTGAAGCTTAAGATGCAAATAGAGCCCAACTCCTATTGTCACTTATACACGTGTGATTGACTTAATATATATTATAACCTTAAACCTCCAAAGCCTTCTTCGCGGCTTTCTTTTGCTTCTTCAGCGCTGCTTTTCGGTCCGCGATCTCCTTGTCCAACTTCGCATCATCGCTTTCAGGCAACTTCTTCGTCTTCTTGGACTTCTTCGTGACAGGTTCGGCCTCCTCGGGCTGTCCTTCGAGCGACTTTCGCTTCTTCCCTATATTCGCCTTTTCTGAGGGAAGGATGGCCTTGGCCTCCTCGGAGCCGTCAGCCACAATGTCCTTCTGGTCGAGCCACAACTCGTCCGTTAGCCAGATAGGCAGGGCAGCGGTTTCAGGGCCCTTGATATAGATGCCTCGAACATTCTTCCACTTTCCTGGTACAAATTTCTCTACTAAATTCTTCGCAACCACCTCGACATTCTCCGCGATCTGCTCGGCGGTCAAGCTGGCATTCCCGATACGAATAGCGGTGTTAACCGTAGGTGACAGGTTAACAAGCGCCGCGCTAGTAGCTCTTTCTATTTCCCCTGCCAACTGTATAGGAGTAGCCGTATTCGGTTTCTCTGCATCCTTAGTACGCTTCACCCTCTTTCCGTCGCTCTTCGGCACACGAGCCTGTATTTCAACGGGAATCGGGCGCTTGGCCGTCGTCCCGTAGAAAGTCTTTCCTAAGATGCCCGGTAATCTGTTGATAATCCTTGTGTCGCCAAGGAAAATATCATGCTCATTGTAAAGCTTGCGCTGCGCTTCGTACGTCTTGAATTTCGCCCTCAGCTTGGATACGTCTATAACTCGCGTTACGCGCTTTCGTAGCTCTGCAGGGAACTCGTCGGCGGCAACCAGATTCTTGTATGCGCGCTGGGGCTCCGCAGTTATCAGACAGATAGCCGCCTCGGAGTCAGTGTTTAGAGGGTGTGGAACAACGATCTTGCCTGGTTTAAGGCGTCGAGAGTCGGCAATGTGTCGCTTTGTAGTCAGGGTAAGCCATATCGGCACCTCTTTGCTAGCTTCTTCGGGATCGGCTAAGAGATTTCTTTTCTCTGAATTGGCAGCTTCCTCAGATGCTTTCTTCATATGCGCCAGTAACGCCTTAGAAGCTTTCAGACTCTACACAGAGAGGATTAGAATAAGACATGAGTATAGGGGATAGAAGGTAACAAACCTGATTTGGGTCTACCAGAGAGACCGCGGTCTCGCTCCGCAGAGTAACAGTCTTTGAAGAGGCCATTGTACCGCACAATGAGATTCATAAAATGAAATATGTTATTTGTGAAACCTCGTGAAGTGAAGCCGCAAATTGATATTTTTTTTTAGCTGCAGGGACGTGGGGCCAGAAAATCTAGATTTGGTCCAAGCGTCTGCAAGAAAGCTTTTATTCACTGAGCCGGACCCACTGAAGTACTCTATATATGTACCTACAAACTAAACCTTTCACTGGCCAATCACCTCATCAGCTTTTACCAACTGATATCCTTTTTTAGATATCATTAGATCACATTGTCGATGTCAACTTAGAGAAATTGAAATGTGTAAGATCAAGTCACATACATGAGATTTCAGGCAATGCAAATGTTATTTTATTAAAGTCTGGTAGTTTAGTCATCACCATGCTATGCTAACCATCAACAGTGGCATCGTTGGTTTATTACTTGAATGCAAAAGACCTCAATCATTACTTAGTAAAGCAACTATGTATGAATTTAAAAATGGGCAATTGAAAAAAATACTCTCAATCCAATCAACTAGCGTTTAGGTAGTTCGCATTAATCGAAATATTTACTTGTTCTTACTTGAGAGGCTTTAGTAATAATCCATTTTACCTAGTCTTTGCACTGCCGTTAACAGCATCCTTACGACTATCTTCGAGTTGAGATATACAATTGTTCATATTTATGGTGATATCGTAAGTCGTTAGCAATTTTATACGAGTTAGATACAAGGTACAATTACTATTCCTCAGAGCTATATACGAAAACAAATCGGGAATAATTATTTAAGAATGTCGGACTTGTCTTAATTTTCAGCTATGACACCCGTGAGCGACCGCCGCACCCGAAGACGGGGGAGATTCCGGCTATCGGGCACGTCAAACGTCATTACTGTTTACTAAGTAAATTCGGGTTTAAGAGTTCTTCATATGGTCGGATCTCCCGGCTCATCGATGATCATGACGTGTAGAGGAAACGCTCAGACTTTTGCTATCGTCAAATTCTACACGATCTACGACGATGAAACAACCCTGAAAATCTGGGGTAAACACGGACATAGACGTAGACGTAGACAAATTCAACTTCAAGCTACTTATTTAGAAAGACGCTTATGATATTCTAGATCACTATATTAATCTTGGTTCGCTTCTGCGAGATCTTGGGTCTCAAAAATCCAACGTTGAGATGAATACAGCTCAGTACACCGCTGCATAAGAAATCGGAATAACCCACATCTCGAAACGAGAATAAGTGCCGAACAAGGATGATGTATATCACTCGGAGAATTTTACGGCTTTCCCTCCAGACTGTTAGAATATTCCAAGCA